AAAAAAAAAAAAAAAAAAAAAAAAAGAGGAGGAGGCAGGGCAGCAGTGTGGGCAGAGGAGCCCTGTCTTCTGCTGCCAATGTGAGGGCCAAAAATACACAAGCCCGACCAGCTGTATCTTTATCAGGGACTCCAATATACAACATAGCGAAAGAACTGACAAAAAAGCTTGGAGATCTCACAGAGAGGAGTGAATATTCCATCAACTCCCCACTACACTGCCTCCAGAAAATCAAAGACATACAAATAGATGAAGATGAAATTATGATCTCATTTGATGTCACAGCACTCTTTACATCCATAAACCCAGAACTAGTGAAAGAATCCATGTCAACAGTACTACACAACACACCCGACCTAACCAAATACACCAAGATCGAAATACCCAGAATCGTGGACCTCATCAACCTCTGCCTCGCTACCTATTTTCAGTTTGACAGACAAATATACCAACAAATCAGAGGTACGCCCATCGGATCATCAGTCTCAGGACTCATAGCAGAGATTGTAATGTAGCATCTAGAAACTATAGCACTTCCACACATACAACCAAAAGTATGGATCCGGTATGTAGATGACACCTTTGTTATAATCAAAGAGGAACAACTAGAGAAGACACATGAAACGATCAACAACATCTTCAAAGGAATAAAATGCACTAGGGCGGAAGAAAACAACAACACACAACCCTTCTTGGATATCCTCATCAGCAGAGGAAACAACAGCAAATTAGAAACTCAAGTCTATCAGAAAACAACCCACACTTACCAAGTACTCCATTACCAAGCAACAACCCAACCTCACACAAGAGGAGCTGTGTAAGAACATTATTCAAATGAGCGCAAACACACTGCAGCAACTCAGAACAGCAGAAAAAGGAAAGAGACCACCTACACAAAATCTTCCAAGAAAATGGATATCCACGCAACTTTATCGAAAAGTGCCTGACTACTCAACCAACTACAACACAACCAACACAAACTATGAAAAGGATAACACTGCCATACATCAGAAATATCTCAGAAACAACCAACAGAATATTACAACCACATTGCATCTCTGTAGCACACAAACCAACAAAAGCCCTCCAAAACATCTTAAGTAAACTAAAAGACCCAGTAGCCCAAGAAGAAAAAAGCAGGAGTCATCAAAAAAAAAAATTGAAAGGACTGTAACAACCACTATGTAGGACAGACAGGCAATAGGCTAGCAGAGTGCATCCATAAACACCAACTAGCAGTCAAAAGACATGATGAAAACTCCTTAATCTCACAACATATGGACAGACTTAACCATAGTTTCAACTGGG